CGAATAAAAAGAAAAAAAATCCACGTCACCGTCGCGGTCGTGCATCTACATGTACGTACCCATCCTAGGAGCTCCCATTAACGGGGAAACGATCGTCGAACAGCTGCTACCGTTGGAGCAAACTTTTCTCAAGACTCAGCGCGGCTGCGAACTTTGGCGACAGAGTTGAGCTCTACTTCCCGAGCACATCACGCGCGTAGCTTCTTGGGTCGCCTTTTTTCCTCGTTTTTTACGCTCACGTATTATGTGCATGTAACCCAAAACTGTGCAAGTTTGAGTAGTTTTTTTTTTTTTTTTTTTTTTTAGGGGGAGGAAATGCATTGAGGCACACCGCAGGGACAGCGGTAGTGTGGGACTCGGTGGATTTTTTTTTTTTTTTTTTTTTTCTACATGATCCACTTTGCGGATCTTTTTTTCATCCCTTCCTTTTCTGCCTTTTTTTTGGAAATATTTGTACCTACAAGCAATGCGAAGTCGATTTTTCCTTCCAGCTGCAATGGAAAGTGAATCGACTTTAGAAATCCATTTCCACGATCGGATTGTCCTCCCCAAACACTTTTTACCTCCATCTGAATTCCAGCCCCCCGATTTCCCTGAAAAGCCATGCACACACCATCTGTTTGCCCCCAATCTACTACCGACCCCTACTACCGATCAATCCTTCGCCGCGGGCTATTATTTTGTTTACCTGCGACCTCACTCCTTAGAAACACACATGGAGCTGAAAAACAAGTTACACACGTGACTTTGAGTAGGGTAATTTGCCGTACAAACAGCAGAGCTTTTTTTGCCTATACGAAGCAACGGCGGCAGTAGGGGGGTAGCAAGCTCGGTCTAGTGGAAAACAAGCTGGGGTAAGAAGCAGGCCAAGGATGCGCAGTCGACGACGGAGCGAGTAATTTCCAATACTGGGGATAATCACGTATAGGAGAATTTAAAAAAAAAAAAAGAAAAAAAAAGGAAAAGAGTGCCTTTGTCGTTACGTGTAGTCATCCGCGTTTGACACGTGCCACTATAAACGAGCCAGACGTGAAAATTAATCAATTTCCCGTCACGCGCAACGAGACCTGTACAGACTGAAAAGCAGAGGACACAATGCCCTGTGACGTAAATGAGGAGGCCGGGGATATGATGCTCTCCTTTTCATTCGCGAAATTTCATTAAGCTGCCGATGTAGACTCGAAACAATGGCTCGGCAGGAGAGCACAACATCATCGAGTGTACGTGTGTACACGGCCTCAAATGGACAGACCTCGTTTTGATACAGCCTGTCGGTTCCATCCCTCCGGCCCGTGCTCGCGTTTGACGTCACTCGCGAGGAGCTGCTCCGCCTCAATGGCACCGCGCCGCCGTTTAATTATAACTTTTGCCCGAAGAGGAAGAACAAGGGGCGCGCGTATAGGCACGAGAGAAAAGTTTGGAGTATCAAAGCCGAACGCGCCGGTGGAGGTGTACTCAACGTTTGACTCGCCCTCGCTCGGCCGGACTTTTGCCGGTTGATCAGGTTATTCTCGTCTTCTTCTTCTTCTTCTTCTCCTCTTTTCGTGTGTAATTTTAACGAACGACGAGCTGTTTCGGACTCGCTCCAACGCTGTTAAAAAGTAATAACGGGAGGGAAAGGACTTTTCGCGCGGTGGGGGTGTCCAGATCGCGGTGGACAAAGGAGGTCGATTTATTTTTCTCGGCGGAGAGGAAAAAATGGTAAATGCTCGTTAATTGCGAGACAAGTGCGAATATTTGCCCTTGGGGGTACGCGGATTCGCGATGAAAATTACCCTCTTTTTTTCTAACGCAATTTTAAGCCGAGAGCGGAAATTGGCCCTTAAACTAAAGAGCTTTTAACGGTAATGAGAAAGAGACTCCTTTGGTCGTCCTATTGCGTGGATTGGCCTTTTCTTCGAATATGGGGTTTCCCATTAATGCCTCAAACCAATCGAAATGTACGACATGACCCAGTGCCAGTGTGGAAAAACAAACGAAATCCATAGCAAACAAGGAGGGCAGGATAAACAAACTAGCCAACTGTATAACGTGTACTTAAAATCCCCGGCGAGTTTGGTGATGCTTTCGGGGTGCAGGATATATATAAATGTACTTTTATCCCGTGGTGCTAATCCGCGATTATCGCTCGGCCGAATTCCTCCGAGAGTTTGCTGCAAGACTTTGGCCGTGGGTGTGTATACACACACATTGGGGGATATTGTCCCGAAGTATAGGTATATATATATATGCGTGCTTGCGGGGCGGAGGAGGGAGGAACTTTTACATCCAGGGAATAAAAGTTTTCGGTCCCTTTTTTTTCCGCAGTTACACGCGTCTGCGTTAAGTCGCCCCCTTGAACTTTTATTGCCCACGAGGAGAGGTATAATATACGTGTGTGTGTATGAATGCACAGTGATGGACAATATTATTTGTTTCTCGGTTTAACATGATGGATTTATAGTGAGTACCGTTCGTTGGACACGTGATAGGCTGTTTATCATTTATGAAACGCGTCAAGTGCGAAGGTGAGCATACCAACTGCGTCTTCGGTCCGAATTTGTAGTAATGACAGTAATGCCCCATACACGTATCAAAAACATCATCTTTTGAAAAAAGAAATATATCAATTGGCTTCAATCTGCTTCATGGCCTTCATTGTGGCGTTTATCCGAGTTATTATATTTTTTAGCGATATTAAAAAAAACTTTGGGCCATAAGAAAAGGAGACCAGCAGCTTGGGCAGCCCAAGAAACGCGCCAAAATAAAAAAAAAAGCTCAACCCCCATGGAGCCGCATGACAATCGATGAGCTTGCACCACGTACGTGTCGCCGCGCCCCCGAGGAAAAGGGCCGAGGGGGGTAGATGAGAGCAGACCAGACGACACTTCCTGCCCGGTCTCTCTTCTTCCCCCGTAACTCTCTCGCCGCAGCCCCTCCCTCCCTGTCCCACCAGTGACGTCCCTTCTCGATCTTTATATTCTCTTCTGGGTTTGCGAAATGCACCGGCACATATGGGGAAGGGGAAGGGGAGGAAAAAAAGGGAGCTGCTGGGCGTCCTCGATCTCTCTCTCGAGTGTGCTCAGCTCGCGCTCCAGTCACCACCCAAGGCGCGAATAAAATATCCGCTTGGAGCCAGTGACGGGGGGGATCGAAGAGAGCTTCCAGTGTGTGCCAAATGGCGCTTAGTATTCCGGCCGGTTTCTGGCTTAGCGCTCGAGTAACTGCGACCCCCTTCTGCTGCCGATGGTGGCAGTTTTGTGTGTGTCTGTGTATAGGAGGATGCATCAGAGGAAAAGGGTGCAAGGTGCAGGGATGTGACTCCATGCTCTCTCTTATAACGCGGATATGCTGAAAGGAAGTCGTACGTAGATGCGCCTGTACCTACTGGTGGAGTGCATGGTTATGTGCCATTTGTAATTGTTTATTTCATTTTTTTCTTTTTTCTTTTTTTTTTTATTTNTTTTTTTTTTTCTTTTTTTTTTATGTAATGCAAACTTTTCCTCTCGCACCGATACTGATCTCTGAATACCTGCAGCCCTGACTAAATAGTAAGTTTTTGCGTGATCTAAGACCAAGATCTCTACTTCTTCAGCTGATCATCACTTCTCCAAAGCCCGACATTTTTTCGAAGCTTGAAAAAACATTGAGTGTTATTATTCTCGTATACGTGTTACGTGCGTAACCATTTAGCGAAAGCCAACAAAAGCCAATTTGCAAAACAATAACGCGCACACCCCGGCATGGTAATACGATTGGGTAGACAAACGAAATTTCCAAACTACACCCATCCGGCTCCTCGAAACCGTACCCTCGCCAACTCTCGCGTTCCCTCCCGCGCGACGCTAACAGTGTATAAATTCACCACCGGCTAACCCGATTGAGCGCCACAACGCTCGGATGAATCTCACCAGCTCGCACCCCCACAGCGTGACAGAGAGAGAGAGAGAGAGAAAGAGGGAGGAAGAAAAAGAGCCAAGGTCTTTCTGCAAGTGGCAGGGGGACGACAGGTGTTATAACTTCATTAACATCATCAAGGGGGGAAGGGGCACCGGGGACAAAGTGCACGCGGAAGCCACTTGCAAATGCGGCGCTTCCTCTTCTTCTCCTCGGCAGCAAAGCTCACGACGAGCAGCCCGACCGCAGTTTACAAATGGCCTCCGACGTTTATTATAGCACCCGTGCCCAACCTGTATACCGCTCAAAGTGACTTGGGTATAGGTGGGCAAAGGAGCATTTGTTTCGCCAAAGCCCCTGCGATGTTCAGCGTCACGCGAACGTGTGTACAAGAGGCGGGGGGTGGCTCGTGCGTGCTCCTGTTGGTAAATACCAGAGGCACGGCACACTTCGTTACGGAAGTTTTTCGCACCCCCCCCCCACCTGCTCTCACCCCCGTCCCCCTACTCGGCTATTTCGTATTCCGTGGAGCAGTGGCGTGTGAGTTGGGGCATGACGGCCGTTTTCTGTAATTACGAAATTGCGCGCTTCTGGGGTTGGGTGTACGTACAGTATACCCACACGTGGGGTATGAGCAATGATTGAATCGCGTTACGCGGGTTCGTCGCGGGTACTTTATTTTTTTGTGCAGTTGAGTGAGAAGATGGAGGGTAGTAGTACGATTGTATATGTGATATTTCTTTTCGATACTCTTTCGGTCCGAACTTTTTGATTATTGGACGGATTCATGGAAAATATGTGATTAAGAAAATTGACGGTCGAAATAAATGTCAAGTTTGTGAATTATCATGCTCGCATCAGTTTTATTTTCAATGCATGGACGTATCGGAGCTAACTGTTTTTACAAACTGTGCCTTGTATATCACTAGCAACTACACAAGATTGTTGGAAATTTTTGGAAAAGTTGATTTAAAAAAAAAAAATAATGAAAAAAAAATAAGTTCAATTTTAGTATCAGTAAAAAAAAACACTCACTTCTAGCTTGATCAAGATTAGTAAAAGTACTGTTGAATTATAACTGGACACAGAGAGACACCCTTTGCTCGAGCCCGAAAAAAAGTTGTTTAGTACTTCTCATTGGTCTGTAATGAGGTATCTTTACCTTTATCTTTACCTGCAATTTCTCTTTTATTCCCCACTTGTGTTAAAACAGTTAAAATTAGACCTATGAGTAACATTACGAAGAAAAATACATACACTACGATATCGACATGATATGAAAGTATTTGGTCGCAAATCGCTATCATAATTGCAGTGATGATTTGACTTCCCAATTGTAAAATTAAAATGCTATAGGTTTCTGATACTGGATACGATATTTCGACGCACAACTCACAGCTAATTGGTTGATAGCCATATCCAAACAATCTGAAAATGACAATATTTTTATAATAGTTTCAAGATAAGGGTGTGCGTAACGCGTGTTGTGAAAATAATTCCATAAATACATGCTACAAGATCGGGCTCATCGATAAAAATCGTATCGTATCATATGTAAATGCATGATATAGAATTTTTTTTTCGGATATGTTTTTAAAATATTAAGTATAGTTCATTGATAAGCGCTTTGTTCAATTAAAATAAAATTCTTACCCGTATATACCAGCCACTATGAAAATAGTCCATTTAACTTTGATGATGTAGAAACAAATCGGAAATGCCACCAAACTTAAGACGAATCCTGCATACAGAGAAACAGCCAAGGCTCTAAAAATAAAAATTATTAAAATCGTAGGGCACGTCAAAGTTAAGTAGATAAAAATACATGACTCACTTGAATTTTTTAGTTGCATCTAAAATTCTGCTGAAAATTATGGCCCCTACGAGGCCACTCACAATGATAATCAAACTAACGATACCAGCATTTTTTTCTTCATTCTAAAAGTGTAAAAATATAAAACATGTAATGGGATTGGAGCCCTATAATTATGGACTTTTCAGTCATAAGCGGAACAAACCTTGAAATGAGTCGTATAAAGCGGGTTGAGTAGAGAACTCATGGCTGTGAGTTGGCCCATCAGTAAACTTTGAGCCAAAAAAAGCAAACAATAATGTTTGTTTTTCAAAAGCTGACAGAGGGACCTCCAAAATCCGTCACTGTCGATTTCTTTGAGCTTTTGCAGTGCTCTGGATTTGCTTGGTGGTAGTTTTGGCTCCCTCTTAAAAACTGTACAAATAAATGCATGACTTAGGGAGCTGGGGCGCACTTAACGATGAAAACTTTTTAAAAAAATGTATATGTTGTAACAAAACATTATATGGATGTTGTCGCCATGTTTATCAAAAGAAGATCAGATTGACTATGCCATTTACTCCTTATTTTTTATCTCCCATACAAGAAGTATTTATGCTGTTTGATTTACACTATAAGAAATTAGATACCTTGAAGAGTATTGTGTAATTTTTTTTAAGTATATTACTTAGAAAAAGTAATAAAACAAGCGGATTCAAGTACCAGTACTGAAAGTTGTTTTAAAAACTTCTTGGATTGAATGTCACTTAAACTTTTCAATGCTAAAATAATTCCTTTTTTTCGTAGAAAAGAAAAAACGCACATACACAAACTATCATTTTTCTTTAATTAAAATCAAATATTTAGTAAAATATTATACACCTATCGGACTCATTATCACTGACTCACAACACAGCAAACTACCTTTGCGATGCACGACACGCATCTTTTTGGTCAAACATCTCCCAGGAAGCTTTCACTATAAATTTCTTGCACGTAAATCTCAAAAAAGCAGTTATTGGTTGATATCCCTTCAGACAGCATTAAATGCCCAAATGAGGAAAGATGTATACTTTAACTGGTTGCTCACGATGTTCACTCTTGGACTTTCGAATGAATACTGAGATAATAAATAAACGGTTTAGGTGCGTTTTTTTAATAATACGGTACAAGTGTGTTAAATCAACACATTTGAAGCGTGTAATCTTTAAACGCGCATTACGTGTGTTTTATAACATACAAGAAACGAATTTAATAATGTACACGGATAAAGCGTGTAAAATTATATGCTAGAAACGCATTATTATATTATAAAACAGACTTACGCGTGTTACTTTAACACATTTGAAGTGCTTTGAAAATATAACGCGCCTATGTGTGTTAAAATACACGCTGTATATGTATAATTTAAAACACTTGGATTTACAGTGCACAAATGCATTTACCGTAATCGAGAGAGCGGGTATTTTTGGGGCAAGTTAGTACAGCAGACTTTGTCACGGCGCCTTATGCACATGAACGTGCCCCCCTTCAACTCTCCGCGGGAGCAAGGAAAATCCCTTAAAATCCACGATTTTTCGGAAAAACAAGAAAAATGCGTATACTCACAAATGAAAATGAGGAGCATAGTACAGGTACAATAAACCGCTTGGGGTAGTAGGAGACTCTTCAAGCCGTCCCCGATATCTTTACCTTCCGTTGTAACGACGGCGGGCACGAGAAAGGACATTGCCGCCATGCCCACCTTCTGACCAACGAAGCCCATACCCGTAGCCGTGGCAACTTCGTTGGGCCCGAACCATCGTGCCGCAAGTATTCCGGGCAGGGATATCACTACCCCTTGCCAGGCTCCGACGAGTGTCTGGCCGAGAACTGCCAAAACAAAGGTGTCAGGTGACGTTGCTATGTATTTTATCCACGTGCCAAGACAAGTGGACAATGACACTAGTATCATGGTGAGTCGCAGGCCCCAGCGGTTCATGATCAAAGTGCAGGGGTATATCATAATCGGCACCGATAGATTGAACACAATGACTGTGCTCTGCACTGCTAGTGTTGATACGTCGTAGTATCTGATTGTTCAATGAATTACAAAAATTTATTTGATATATTGTTTGCGAGGCGCATTGGTTGGGTAATGTAATTTATTCCTCCTACCTTGTTACGATGCTTTGAATAATGGTATACTGGAGGTACTGGAACTTATTTCCGGTTGCAAGTAACGTGAATTGTAGCAAAATGAACCATCTCTTTTTGTACACTTTAATTTCAACGGGATCCGCCTGTGCTTCGCTTTCGTTCGGAATTTCTGGAGAAACTTCAATGACGCTGGCAGAAGAGTTTTTGGTGGATCGATCTTCGTTTCCCATCATCACTTTCGTACGAGAAAAATTTTTTTTAAACATTTTATCACTACTAGCTTCCTTACGAGTAACTTGTTAAACAACTACTTTGTCGTTTAAATAAATTATAAAAGACTTTCAACGTCTTGAGTAGCTTGTTGGTCCGTGCTTTCTTCACTAAAATCGGTACGAAACGTAAATCGTTTATTTATACCCAACTAATGTAAGCACTCACATATCTTTATCGCATATCAAACGTTAATCTTTTACACTCACATGTGTACACACAATATACTTGTTTTGATTTTTTGACGGACAGCCAAAGGCAAGTATATGCGATCAGAGACAAAAAAACTTTTAGATTTTCCTCCAATTAATTGGAATTGGATAATCTGTTTCACTTCTATTGTCATAAAATCATAAAGCGAGATACTATATAATAGTTTAGCATATAGAATATAGTATAATAAACTTTTTTATGCCTAAAGCATAAAGGATAAAGTTATAGTTATTAACTATAATTTCAATCGCGATAAAAATTAAATTTGTATAAGTAGTACTAAAACAAAGAGAATCCGAGTAAAAACTCAATTTAGGTACCAACGTTACAAGTTTTTATTTAAAGTTGTAAATCTCACTACTTTTAAAAAAATATGCAAATAGTTAGGATGAAAATGTTAATAGACGAAGGAAAACAAAATAATGTTCAAGTTCAAGTTCATCGACGAGCTTGTAAATGACTGTTCGTCAAATAAAGGTCTAAAAAGTTTTCTCATTCTTAAAATTTATGAATAAACAATGGTAAAAATCATTTATGATTTCTTTATTTGAAACTAACACATTATTAACTAATGACGCAGTTAAAAAAAAAAAGGCGGCACAAGCTTTATAAACGTGTATAGAGTCGTAGTATTTGAATTAATTTAAAAATAGTAATTACAGTTTATACAGAAATGTACGTTGTGAAATAGTGTTATCACAATCGACCAAATCTTTCTACCAAATGTACTCACAAACACACACATACTCACACTCGTACATACATTTTTACTAAAGCACGATTCCGACTGTGAAAAACCGAAGAAAACACATTTATGAAATTTTATCTCGAAATAAATTTTAGTTCAAATATTTATGGATATTTTAAAATCATAAGACAACATAAACAAAGCAGTCTTTGATTTTGACCAAAGCTACAATATACTCAAGTCTTATGTCTCAATGATTATTAAAAAACACTGTGTACTAACCAATTTTTTTTATTGTATTTGTTTATTTTTTTTTTATTAAAGTTTCCCTCATTAGTCAGCAGAAAAAAAATTGATTCGTTTTACATTTCATGTGACACCTCATTATGGTCCTCAATGCAAATACGAAAATCTCAGCGCACATCTTGCGAAAGCCAAGTAACCCATGCGAACATGCAACACTCCAACGCTACAAGGGTCCACGAGGGTAATCACCAATTCAGCAATACTAAAGCTAGGCACGCGATAAAACAGTGAAGGAAAAACCTGGGGGCAGGGGGGAAGAGGACAGGAGAGAAACAAGCGTTCCTACGGCCCATCCTCCTCCTCAAAAGTATACCCACCACAGTCACGGCAAACAGACACACCCACAAGGTACATACCAAAGCGAGTAGCACGCGATCTCGTCTCGGTAAGGGGCTCCCCCTTATCGCCGCCGTATAAAGGCTTTGTAACAACAATCCCATCCCAAGGAATCTCCACTCAGCCCCAAGAACCCCAACGACCTACTGTCGCCCCCCAACCCAGTATGAATCGCGTCTTTCGCTTATTACACCACAAACAGCGCACCCCCCTGCTGTGTGTAAATAGTCCTCCTTATCGGGGGGCCCGCGCAAGCACCGAGAGCGTAATTGCAGAGCACACGCACCCAAGCGCCGTTTGCACCCTTGGGCTGATTAATTTTCGCGACAATCGGAGGACGGGGATCTTGGATGCGGGTACATGCCTCGCTGTCAAATTAACACGTGCGTTCTTACCCCCTCCCTGGGAAAAATTTGTCCGGACTAACTATATGTACACGGTGCCCGGTGAGTGTTTTATAATTGCCGATTTATCTCGGGGGTCACTGGTTCACGTCACCGCGCGCAGACTCTCGTTCGCCCCGTGTCGATCTTTCGTCATCGCACGCGCGCGTTTTAATGATTACTACAATTCATGCGTTGCCTCGCGATAATGGAACAACGAACGATGAGCTCGATGAGTCTTCCAAACGTTAATTGGAATCTCGTTTGGGGAGCTTTGGTTTTAACTCGTCTCAATTACCTTTTAACGAGTCCGTGGTTCATTATAACTCGTAGTTTTGGTAGTAAAGTTTTTTTTACTTCGGGCAATGTGTATATACACTACATGTTTTGTGGTGAAAAATTAACTATGAGCTCGGCGTGTCGTTTCGTGTAAGTGATGCACGCACAAGTCAAATGAGCGACCCCAATTCGCAAAACTTTTAATCATCAAATTTGGAGTGCGCTCAAAAATATCATCGCGAGCGCGTCGAAATTCGGAATGTATTCACTGGGACCCTTGCGTTTTCCCGGCTGCATTCATTTTCGCCGACAATTTCGGCGTGCAGGTATACATATAGGGTCTTGGGGGAAAGTTGGAGCTGCCGCCGCCAAAAGGACGCGAAACGAGGCAGACTTGGGCTAATTAAACAACTTCGAGTTCGCAAATAAGTTGAAACGGGTGCTAATACCCGCTGTGCCCCTTGCCGTAAGTGCATGGGCTTGTTTTTGTTGCGTAATTTACGGATCGGCGCCCAGGCGTTTCGTTGCACTCCCACGGGTTGGATGCGATTTTTGACGACCTCCCGGTATGGCGTTGATTTATTTTGGATCACGGAAAGTGTTTTTTGATTCGGTAAAACCAAGAGAGGGAGCCGCGAAAAATTGAAAATTGGGTCGACGCCTGAATACAATATTTCAAAAGCGGGGAGCGAGCGTTGGAATTAATTTGCATTTTCAAATGACGAAATAAAAGTTTAAATCCATGTAAAAATATACACCTCTAGATTGATTTTTCCAAAGAAACTGGGTCATTCTCTTTGTAGCTGAGTAATTTTTTTTCTTTTTTTCATGAAAATCGTTTTAAATCCACGCACCTACTTTCAAACGATCAACTGTGCATGTGACAAATAGCGTAAATACGTACCCGCTCGCACGTGCCCGTAAAAAGCGAACAGTAAAGATGTCATTGCGTCCATCATTCACTCGACAAAGATGCCAAGCGCACAAAACCTCACACCACGTGTATGAGGTAACATGTTGAATAAAAAAAAAAAAGTGAAACAAAAAAACAAACGTTAATTGCATCGACAGCTCGCTAGACAGGAGCTTACACTCTAGTTGATGGGACGCGTAATAACTTTGCACTAGAGGCTTTCATCTGCACCGAACGATATCGGAAACTCCTCTTTTTTTCATCCCTTAGGCACGTATATGTAGGTTGCAACGTATGTAGGGTCAAAGCTGTTGTTTCAAAGAATTTAATTTTGATGCACAATGAGTGTAATATCCGCGCACAGGTGAACGCTTTTGTACACCTGGCCGTTCCGAAATGGATTTTATGTGAAAACGCTCGAGTGTACACGAACGCAATTACGTGTAAAGAGAGCAAAGCATCGCTTGTAGATGGGAAAACAATTTGGTTGAACGGACGCGGTGATTATTTTTTTCCCTTCCAAAAATATAAATCAATTTACACAAATTAATGAAAATAGAGGGTGGGTTCTGTCAGGTACCAAAAGATTTTTAATATTCTATTTTGTGGGACATATTGACATCGAAATTTTTAAATGCCAAATAGCTGCAAGTGGCGTTTATTAATTTTATTTATTTGTTCGTGATTTCAGACATGAGACGTCTCTAACGGTGGACTTGGAACCTTCCTGAAATGTTGCCTGACGTCAACATGCGTTGCCTTCTACTTCTGGTAAGGAACATTTACTTTTGTTTTATAAAATAATTCATTTCCATGCACGGCTAATGTCCATTCTTTGAAACTATTATTATTATTTATGTACATATTCAGTTTTGATGTACATTTTTTTCATAAAGATTTAAAAGAATAATGAATCAGGTACTGTGATTAAAACTTACGGTAACCAAAAGTAAGTGAAAAAAACTTTAGGGGGGCAAAGCGTATCTGGTACGCTGGACTGTTTTTCTCGGTGAAATTCATTTAATCCCTTTCCAAAAGTACTTTATTATCGATTTCCACTGATTAACCTATCCGACGACTTTAATTTACTGCGTGATTACAAAGGAACTTTTATGAGAATCCTTTTAAATCCCGTAACTCTATATTTTCATCAGTGGAGGTTTTTGAGTAATTTGAAAAATTAACCCTAATGAAATTTAAATTTACAAAGTGAATTAATCATTTGGAAGCTTCTGTTTGGAGAGAATTATAAAATATTACTGCTTCCATTCATATACCGGGTGAGAAACAACCTGGGGCGCTTACTGGCTGCTTCGTTAATTAATATAATAAATAAAATAATACATGTGCCAATCACTACACAACCCGAAGTTCTCACTGGCCATTTGGTTTATTAATTAAATAAAAATAGTTTAGCATATAGAATATAGTATAATAAACTTTTTTATGCCTAAAGCATAAAGGATAAAGTTATAGTTATTAACTATAATTTCAATCGCGATAAAAATTAAATTTGTATAAGTAGGACTGCAAAATGTAAAGTGGTGGCATTAGAGAAGCCAGTAGTCAAGTACTCATATTACGCGGCACGAAGATTTTCCTATTGAAATTAAAATGTTTTGAAGTTCTAGCAANGTTTTTCAATACAAACAAAAAACAATTTAGAAAAAAAGTCAAAGTTTTTAAATAATTGATTACGCATACTTTAAAAATGATTTGAATGTCTTGACACTAATCCAGCAGAAGAAAAATTTTTCTTTAATTGGTTTACAAACAGTGATTTGTAAAAAAAAAAATTGAACGTAATTTAGGTAAAAAACTTCATCTAAACGTTTTTAGAAA